CGCCCGTATTCTGGATTCTATAGCGCTTTGAGCCTTCTTCAATACCTAATGAAATAAAAATGTAACACATTTATTATCTTACTGTTAATTAAGTTTGCATAATTGCATTAAACGAAATACAAGATAAATTACAGTTAATTGATCAGCATCCCATTCTTCTTCATCATATGTTGTTAATTGCAATACCCGAATAATTTCATTCAATTCATCAGACATTCTTCCAGACAAGTAATTACGATTTTCTGCTGCTTCGTCTGCACCTTTTCCACCTTGTGAAATGATATGGATAAAAATCTTCATAGAACAAATTAGAATTGGTGCGAGTGTTTTCACCTGCAAGTGTATTAAGCATTAATATTTAAAATCACTGGTTGTACACATTATTTCATATTACAGTGGCATTAATCTATATTATAAAATCATCGTATAAAAATTGAAAAAATATGTAAGTATAGTTTCTTAATACTTACTTGTTCTAAGCAGCGCACCAATATCTCTCGATGTACTTGATGTGTTAATTCCTTTTCACGAGCACTCACTTCTCTTGATACTTTGCTGAGGCACGGACTTAAATTCTTAAGAAAATGTACTAGATCTTCCATTGTTTCAATAACTTCGGTGACAGCCAAATAATCTAATACACGTTTGCATTCACGTATAATTTTTCGTACTTCGCTTTCATCAAAGCAGAGAAGTAAGGAACTTGTGCCTTGCAGAATACCGCGTGAGCCTTCTATAAGCTTTTTTCTTAAAAAAATAAAGGCGACATAAATTTATATAATATTTAAAAATTTAATTTCATATAAAAACCATAAAATTTTACCTAGCAGGTCCAGAATATGGATCTTCTTTCAACATTGCCGATGCTTCCTCCAGAAGACGAGAAGCACCTTCAACACGTTGTAATGCTGCTGGCATGTCTTGTTTAAGTAAAGCATCATCAGATGAGTTTATAGTTTCTTTCCCAACCTAAAAATTAAAATAGATGCAAGATAATATAATAAAATAAAATTAAATAAATTTGCAGTTATTTTTATACAGAAATTTTTTAGATAAAAACAAAAACTAAATTCTAGAATAATATGGCATCCAGAAAATACGTATCCGAGCAAAAAAATTTCAGAGCCTGAATAAAAAATATTTTTTTTTAACTTTTTAACTTTAAGTTTCAGTTTTTCTCATTTTTATCATTTTTATCATTTTTTATCTTTTTTAGTTGCAAACACTTACTTTTACAAGATTAGTTACAGCCATGCTAACAGCTTGTACGGGCCTTCCCAAATCTGGCATTGCATTTCCATCTTCGGCTTCTTCATGTAAAATAACAAGTCTTGATACCTATATAGAAAACATAATAATTATTAAAACAGTTTTAAGTGAATGTTAATTCTAAATAATTTACATTCAAAAAGAATACAAATTTATCAATTTTATACTTTATAAATTTATAAATTTATGAATTCATATTATGTAAATTTATTTACTTCTGTCATATTGTTTATATCAATTTATAAATTTATATAATGTAAATATCATAATTTAAATTTATAAATTTATATAAAACTTTTTATAAAGCCTTGCATAAAATATTTTTCATGTATATAATTAATTTATATTAATTAATATTTGTTTATTTAATTTTTAAGGTTTTTAAGTAATTGCCGCGGCCATTACATTATGGAATCATGATATCATAAGCAAAAAATAACACGTTGAAGTTTCTTGTCATTTGTAAATAAAAAGAATTTGAATGAAATAAAATATGAGAGCGCTTTCAAACACTTGTAAAAATAGGCCAAAGTTTTTCCTAATCGATAAAAAATCGTAAAAAGAAAACGAAAATATGCTACGTATGCGTATTAAAGTAAAAACTGGTAAAAACGCACTTTATGTGCCTATTTATTGATTGAAAATTGATTTATTGATTGAGTATATAAATTAACAGAATTTTTCAGCACTAAAGATCCAGCTTGAACATTTATGACTTACATACTTTTATTTACAATTTATTTCACATTATGATCTTATAAGACACTTCGTATTATTGCCTGCTAGAAGAAGAGGAAGGAAGTAAGGATAGATTTGGCCCATTTTTACAAGTGTTTTAAAATGAACTCATTATTCTGTTTTACTTAAATTTTCTTTATTTATAAATGATATTCAAAAAACTTCAACATGTCATTTATATATAAAAAAAAAATCATATACAATTTCATTTAAAAAAGTGAAGAGACTTTTTTGACGCCTCCACCTAGAAAAAAAGTATGTCCTTTTCAAAACCGTTCCATTTTAGTTTGAAATGTTTTTTCAGACTTTCCATATTTTTTAAGTTATTGGTTTATCACATTTTACATAAGTCATCCTGTATATGCGCGCGCGCGCGCGCGTGTGTGTGTGTGTGTGTGTGAATTATTATCATACAATTAAATATAATATATTTTAAATATAATATGTTTCTATATGTTATTTTATAATTTTATTTATGTATATTAGATGTGGGAAAAAGTTCGTGGCGTTTTTTAATGTCATTTAACGGAAAAAACGCCACGAACTTTTTCCCACACTTAATATATATGTTAAAATTATTATTATCAAAATACTAATCTTTTTTTAAAAAATATCTTAAATTTTCTATTTAAAATAATTAATTAAAAAGTAAAAAATTAGCTTTCAATTTATATTTGTGATTAATTACATATATCATGATAGTAAGCTTAGAACTTAACTTTTGTTATGCATGTATGTATATACATATTTAGAGCATCTATCATGAAATAAGTCGAAATGGATTTCCAATCTGAATTATTCCGTTTTAGAAAATACAATAGAAATATAGAGAATAATTAAATAATTCCAATTGGAATCCATTCCAAATAATTCCATTATACATATATTTAGTTATTTCATTATCGTGAAAAAAGTACTATAAAAAATCATAAACAAAAAAAATATTATTGCTGTTATTTGTTATCATTAATACTATTGCTGTTTATTATAAAAATACATACATATTTAAATTCAGACATACATATTAAAATGTAAAATGAAAGTTGATTCATTAGTATTCTAATATGTGGGAACATGTGGGAGATGATGTGATACTATATGCTCCAACATATCCATATTTGGACAGGTTGGAATTAATAATACGCCGGGAAGATTTTCCTCTCAGCCAAAGAGATTAAATTTCATTTTAGAAACTGTGTGATATGCTGAAGGATAGGTATAACAGCCCTGTTCTATATATAGAATATGATGTCATAATCCTATAAAAAGCATTGTAGATGAAACAACGAGGTTATCCTCTGATTTGACTTATGTCAAAATATGAGCTCAAATAGCTGTCACATCAGCTAAAAATGGTTAATTTTTGTTATGTTTTATTACCGATATTAAATGCAATTTTTGTAGCAAACAAACGACGAACGTATTAAAACGGCTATAATAAACAATTAAATCAGGCCATAGATAGAAAGTTATATATATATATATATTTTGTAGATAACAAACACATATTTGTTTACTCAACGAGAAATCATATCATTTTTTTTTTCAAATATATTTTGATTTATAAATTATATTTTCGCAGTTAATTAAATTAATGTATAACATTCCCCGAAATTCCAGAGAAGATTACGAATTTCTTGATGAAATAATTCGGCAATAATCTCGATAATAATGATAACAAGAAATGAGTCTTTTGACACTTGAATTACCTGCTGAGCTACTGGCTCGAGAATACTCTCGATAGTCTTGGTATGGAAGACAGGCATTTTTATTCGATTTTTAGATTACGGTATGAAAGTAACGAAAAGAGAAAGATGAGTTCTTTATATAAGATCTCTCGACGATAAAAGACACGAGTTAATCAATAGTAGAAGATTAAATGACACCCATTCCCTGCTTTATTTAATTCGCTTTGAGTTAGCTACCGCACACGATCTGACTGACTTTGACCACTTTGGTGCACTCTGGATTCTTGAGTCAGACAGCACAGTATATAATATACAGTAGCCGAGTAGCACAATGTGTAAAGATGCCTTTTCATGATGACGTTCGATGTTCATTTTTAAGGCGCAAGTCCAATGGAAGCTTTTATATGCGAACGTCAAGCGTCGAGCATCAGAGCATGTGCAATGATATGTTAAGTAATTTTTCTAGTTTATTTTTACATTAAACCTTCTAATAAGAAACCTTCTAATAAGAGTCACAACATGAGAAAGTCGCGCATTTATTGGTCTGCCACGTTACAGAAATTCATGCCCTATATTTACATACTTTTCTACTATACTTACATTATATTCGTGTTACTTTTAAATTTCAACAATATAATTAAAATTAAATATTTTAAAGATATTAAAAAATACATTTCTTTACATTACGTAATAATGCATGAGAAGAATTGTTTAGTTTAACTTAAAAAAATTTAAAAGAAACTTAAGAAAGTTTCTTTCTTATAAAATTATTTTGCAAATTTAAAGATTTAATTGCATATTTTGAAACGAAATTAAAATTACAAAAGTGAGCAAGTTCATTGGAATATCCATGATTTTAATAAATTTACTCAGTTTTGTAACTTTTATAACTTTTAGATACACAATCGATACTCTGATACATAGAGAAAAAGAAATAAAATTTGTTTATATATATTCATAAGTTTTATTTCACAAATTATTGTGCATCGTAAATGCAATAATATCGATAGCGCGCTTCCTGAACTCGAAACCAAAGCATTCCAGTTTTAAGCACTATTATTTAATAATTTAATGATAGCTCAAATAGATTCTATTTGATATTTTCTAACTCGCAAAAAATTTTTTTATTACTTATGATTAAAAAAATCTTAATATTGTAATTTTCCTAATCGTAAGAACATATTCTTAAAATGATTAAAGAATTTATCATTAAAAGATGATGAGTGTGAAAAATAAAATAATATACATACATGTTAAAAGAGATATTTATAAAATTTTGTATCATATTTACACTTTTTTGATATCTCATTTTCTTTTTTTCATTTTTTTAAATTCGCTTTGCTGAATGGCAGCTTCACCAAAAATTTCATTTACTTTCTGCTTGCGTTCGATATCACTTTTAATTTGTTGCCCAATTTGTACTTTGGCTAAGAAGTCTCGATCTCTTCTTATTTCACGAATTGCACCCTTATGTTCTCTTTTATATTTATGCAATAGTTTTTCTCTTTCTGCTTTTTCCTTTGATGTGGATTTATATCGTTTTTCACTATATCTGCAAAAAACAAAATTTGAAATAATTTCGTATATTAATATACTATAATACTAGATAATATTAAAATTAATAATTTACTTGCATTCTCTTTCTCAACATTTAGATACAAAATATGTAGGACATCACATTGTCTATGACAAACAGTTTATGCGCGGGAAAAGCGAACTCTCTCCTAAACTCAGTCAAAAAGTCTTGTACCATTTTGCAATTTTCGTAATAATTAACAAGAAATTAATTACTAAAAATCGGCGAATGAACGCCGAGTATCTATTCGGCTGATCAAATGCAATCGCGCGAAGAGATGCGATATTGCTCACAACTACATTTAACATTATTTAAATGCACCAAATATTACTTTATCTTTATTTGATATTCGGTGAATAAAAAGGATGTAAATATATCTAGATGCTGATAATTTTTGAATGCGACTTAGTGGTTTTAGTTGGTAGAAACGACTATGATTATTAAAAAATGATACAGGACTTTTTGACTCAGTTTAGTTTTATCTGCTTTACCTGCACACAAGCGATTTCAAAAACTATAGGATAGCTTGTACAAAATAATTATAATTATAAATTTATGAAATTATATAAATTAAATAAATATAAATTTAAAAAATATTTAATAGTTACATTGTCATTATTTTTGGCTCATAAGTTTTTAAAGGTTTCGGCCTTTTCTTTTCTTGCACAATATATTCCAATTTTTTATTTCGTAGAAGTTCGAGTTCCGTACGCAGTTTTTTTATGTGATCTCTTACGTATAGTGGATACTGTTTGAAGTCATATATTTTTAATAATTGAAGAATGTGCTCAAATATTGGATATACTGTTTCTAATTCTTGAAACTGGTTTTTGAATTCGGTAAGCAGATTGACTGCAGTCAATAAAGATCTTATTCTAAATATATCATCCAATTCCTCGTGGATTAAATCACTTGCAAACATATGTGCGTTGTTTGGATCAGTTGTATTTTCGACTTTATTAACTACTAAAGCTTTACATGCAGCTTTGAATGGTGGAACAATTTTCATATTTTGTGTCAAGCTTGCAGGCGTTGCTATGTAGATAATGCCTCGTAAAAAATTAATTACAGAGGGTGCAAATCGCTTGCTCAATATTGTATACTGCAATTAAAAAAAATTATAAAAATAGCATACATTTTCTCAATTTAATATTGCAATACAATAAATAAAATATAATATACTCACTTCTAAAATAAGAGTGCATATAAAAAGACCTTTCGAAATGTCACTTCGATATTTTCTGATTCGAGCTTTCAATAATATTTGCGACATAAATATTAAACAAGGAGTAGTAATAGGATGTCTGAAATCAGATGTCGGAAACAACAAGGACACCAATTTAAAGAATATAAGCTGAAAAATAATATATAAATCTTATATACAGAGTAGTCCATTTTAATCCAATAGAATATCTAATACAATAGAATATCTCAAAATCCTTAAGTTTAAGATAAAAATTTTTCAGAGAAAAATTGCTCAGTTACAAAAAAAAAAAACAAGATAACCTTGATTGATCTTGAGAAGATGTCGTAAAGATCAGATCAAGATTACTTAAAATATTTTAAATGGAATTATATATATTTTTTATATAACATGATTGAACACTAATTATTCTGTACATAAAAGTATTAACGTAAAAACATCAAAAAAATCAATAGTTTATAAAATAATTTATACTGACACATAATGAAATGAAATATTTAATATCTCATAATTTTTAATATTTAATATCTTATTAATTTTTTAATAATCGTACCTCAATACCTTTATGAACAGAATAATGGGACAAATTAGTTGGTGTAAGGAAATTCATATTTTATTTTAAAAAAATGAAGTTGACTTCGAAATATTCCCAACACTTGCATCCATAAAATAATTATTATTTCCACTATACGATTCCCCTTTATACTGAACACATTGGTATAAATTACTTTTTCATATCTTCAAATCTTGCCAATAATTAGATCAGTTATTTTATAAGAACGCTGTCTTACCGTGTCCATGCCAGGATATTTTGTCTTATTTTTCTCAAATTTATCATATTTCTCTTTGATTACTTCTTGTATACAGATTTTAGCATTCTCTGAATTCATATGTGCTAGATCATAAAGATAAGGACATAATCTAAAATAAAAGTTACACATTAATAATAAACACTATACTATTATATATATATATATGTATTTATGACATAAAGCTAATAAAAGTAGTAAGTATACATTTATATCTAGTTTATTTATCTAGTTTTATTTATTTATTATACCTGTCAAAGATTTGAAAACATTTAATTAAATCATCAGCACTTTCTGTGAAAGCACAGTTGTTTATATGTTGTAATAAATATACAAATAAATTAGACATTTTTTCTCTGTTTCTGCCATCTAATGACCAATGATTACATTTTATAATACGATCTACGATCACTGATTGATAATCTGCATTATGATGTCCTAACAATTTTTCTAATTCTTCAAAACTCTCTGGAGCATTATATGCGTAAGATAATTCGTTTCGTGCCTTTTCCATAATTTCTTTTCGTTTCAAGAGATCATTTCTGATCTGTTGTATTTTATCACGTGAATTTTGTACATGTGTATCGTTACTTTGTTTCAGTATTGATTTATGAGAAATCTTATTCGACTGATTTATCTGTTTAATATCTTCTGTCAGATCATTACTAAACATAACATGCTTTTTACTTTCATTTACAAATGCAACTTCCGTTTCACTTTCATTTTCACAAGATGATTCAGACATTTTTAAATCTGAGAGATCATCTAATGAGTCTTCAGACTCATCATCCAAATTTTCACTCTCTGAATCTTTGTCGTTCAAATCAGATTTGTTTTTAGTAGTAGATGATTTTGAATATATTTTTTCTTGATTTTTACTACTATCCTTTCTTGTATTTATGTTTTTAATTATTTCCTCATCAGCAGTGTCTTCTAATTCATTTTCTGCCTGTTTATCGTCATAATCATCTTCAGCATTATTTTCTTCATTAATATTGGTATCAATAATTGAATCATCAATAATGTTATCAGTGTCTTCAATAGTTTCCATTATAAAGCCATCATCAAGATCATCTGCAGATTTATGTCTGAACTGACTACCAGTATCGCTTATAAATCCTTTCATTCTTGCCAATCTATCAGCTTCTAGTTTTTCCAATTTCTCTTTTTCTTCTTGAATAATTTGTTCTTCTGATTTCAATTTCTCAGATGGATTACCTCTAGCTTCAAATTTTAATTGTCGTACAGCAATATCATAAGTATCAGTTTTTGTGGTTTCATCATTTTCCACAGATCTTTTGGAAGCAGACATAACAGGTAAAAGATCTCTCCATTCAGAATCAAGCTTCTCTGTGAGATCTATTGTTTCCTTGCGTATTTTTTGTTTTTCTGCCTTATGTTTTTTCGATTCTGCAATGAGCTGATCAATTAGATCTTTTCTAGATAATGCGGAATCTGCTTTCGATAAAATGCCTCCACCAAAATGAGCTTCTTGTACAAAATTTCTATCCAGCTTGCCACTAACATTTTCATTATCACTGAATTCGTCATCGCTTCTAGGATCATCAAATTTCTCAATCTCTTCAAGAGTTTGTCCCCTGTGTGTTAATATTTCATCATTCAAATTAAAAATACTTTCTTTTTTATACGCTTTCATGCGTTCTTTAGCAAATCTTGCTGTTGCCTTATCTTCTATGCTCATAGAACAATTCTTTTCACCAATACGTTTATCTAAGAAAATATTGTTTTTATTTTGTAATGTATATTCTTGAAGAAGACTTTGTTTACGCCTATTAATAGCTTTTGCTCTTGAAATTCCTGGAAGTCCATGATCATTTTTATTCTTACGACCCAATACATTCTGTTTGTCCCTATTAATATGTACTTCAAATGGATTTAGCTGTTTCTTGTTTTTCTGTTGTACAGATTCGGATAAGTTTTTTTTCTTTGTCTTAACCATTTTATGTAATAATTTTATGTAATGACAATACCATTTAACTAAAGCAAAACAAGTTTTGTGCTATTTACATTTAAATGTATATCTTCAAGTGTTATTATCAAAATATGACCATCAATTGCAGCTATAAAGTAATAATAAATATTATTTTATTAGTATAAAATTTTTATAAACAATGTTTTATTAAACTGTTTACTTTGGTAACTGTTTACTTTAGCCACATCATCTCACAATCGATGAAATTAGGCTTATTCGACGCATTTTTATCTGAAACGAAAAAATTTGGTCGAAAAAAGCGTTCTGTCCTGCAAATCGAGATATTATTTTTAAGAAAATTCTCGCACTACTTCCTAGTCAGTAGATAGTTTATTCATAATAATATATTCAAAATAATTAAAATAATGGAATAAAAAGATTATTAACAATATTTTATGCCATTACACATAATTATTGTTAATTTTATGATATTAAATATTTTCAAAATGACAAAACAAAAATTGTAAATTGATTCTCACTTGATGTATATGCATCATCCATTTGACAAATATTCTTTTTTCATTGAATATAAATTTGTAAACTGCACTGTCAGTTTAAATGAAACTTTACGAGAACAAACTTAAGTGTTTACTTCAAATTATAACGATTTTTAAATTGCTGTCTTATAGTAAGTGTCTCAATTTAAAAAAAGAATACCTTCAACTTGTAATGTAAAATTCTATAAATTTATAATTAAATATCATCAAAATGATACGGTAAAAGTCAATGAAATTTTTTCTAGATATTATTGATATTATTAACTTTTGTATCACATGTATTTTATAGACTTGTTTTATATTTCATCATCAAACGCGACCTTCTTTAAGGTAAATTTTTACACTATTGAGGTTAGAAAATCTGTCACTGATTATTTGGCTAAAGTAAACAATTACTATAAATATTTTCATACTTACATAATGTAAATTTTTGTAATGTATTAAAAATTATTTACATGAAATTTATTTGCAATAATCCACGTACATGTATTCACATGTGCTTTATCATAAAATCAAAATCTTACATCGTGTGAGGATGTGAGAATGAAGTCTGTTCTTTATTCTTGCACTATCTGAATTGGTGCACATGATGCAATAAAGGTGCATTCACATGCATCAACCGCTAAGCAACGGAAGCAACAACCAATCAATTTTTAATGGCGTAAAAAATATTTTTTACGGATTCATTGATTGAACCAGGAGATCCAGAATATAAAATTTAATGCTTGCGGATATATGAATACTTTTGAAACACTAATACTACTTGAACCAATAATAATTAGTGATTATATTATTTTTCTAGATGCAGTAATATATATAATTACTAATTATTACAATTATTCAGAATATATTCAAAGAAATTTGATATTAGTGAATGAACAATAAATTAGCAGTATTTAAAACTAATAATTATTTACATATAATAATCATATAAGAAAGCAAAACAATTTCATATTCTGCGATTTCCATGAAAAAAATTTGGAATATATTGTGAGAATTTTATTAGACAATATTTTACTCATAATTGGAGTTCATTTTTAATTAATACTATACATGAAAGAATTAATAAGAGTTTATAGTTAACAAAAAAACGTATAAACAAAAAACTAATACTATTCTTGATACTTTTCCAAAAGAAAAAATT